TGTGCTTTGATGTCTATATTGTTTTCATTGGACCAAATCTCACAATTTAAGATTAGGATTCATATCTTTTTATTATTTAGAATTTTCATGAGAATGTGTTGATCATACAATTCATTGATAACATATGGATGAGATTGATTTCTCTTATATTTATTATATATTTTTAAATGCAAATTGAGACACAAGATTGTTTGATGATTGAAGTTCTAGTTGCGTAATCTATATTTTGAAAGTCAATTTGTTATGTTTATCTATTTTTAGAGATAAGTCTCTTTAAGTTTATAATTTTTTATGTACACTAATCCAATTCTAAAAATTTTAATTAAGAATCATTGTGAAATTGACAAGATCATATTGTTTGAAAAAGTTATAAAGGTTATTGCTTAAAAGAAAAGAGCATATATTTGAAAAATAATAATTTAATCATAAAAAGAAAAAAATCAATATTTGTTGAAAATCTTTGTTAAAGAAAAGGCTATCTATTGAAATTAGTTTGAAAGCTCCTGTGATTTTGAAGTGGGGTATATTGAGTTAAAAAAAGGTGGTGGTAAGCCAAAATAAGGAATCTTTGTCTACGCTTTAAAGTGAAAACCGTCTTATTTAAAAAATGTTACTCAAGCGATTTTATCTTAATACTTTTTGATCAATATGTTTTAGACAATTGATCAGTGAGGTTTGATTATATTTTGATGAAGTCGGATGTGCGCACACACGGACTTGCTAGACCAATTTCTAAATATTTAGAAATATTGCAAGTTGGATTTCATGTTGTAATTGCATGCCCTAGAATGAATTTCATTATATAATATATGGAGTATTAAAATGTCGTGTTCTGATAGTGTTGTAATTCTTTGAGAAAGTTTTGGATTGCACATTGTTTGCTTATATTTTTAGTTGTGAGTATTTTCTTAAAAAAAATGACAAAAAAATTGACAAATCAATTTTTATTTTTACTTTTCTAGGTTTTTAGACAATTTCAACAGAATCAGTTGCGAATATACCGAGATTATCTTTTGGTTCTTACTTTCAGCAACTCTTGTTCTAGTGCGTCTCATATACAGCAAAAGTTGCACAAATATAAACTATAAAGATGCAAGACTTTTGGTTCTTATAAAACCAAGATGGAGTTCAATCCATCAAATCAACATTTCAGAAAGAAAAAAATCTTCAAAGATTTGAAGTCCATTATAGATTTTTTCCTGGGTAAATTGGAAGAAATCAAATCAACTATTGCACGAGTAGTAATAACAATCGTGAGGGGAAAAGAGAGTTACCTTTATAATTCCAGTGAAAGTTGGCTTGGATACATGGTATTATTCTTACTACATAGATCCAAATTTTGCCATCACAACATGAGAAAGTCATTATGTGTATACATACATATAGGCCCAGTTTGGTATTCACTAATGAAATGAATGGGAATGAAATAAAGTTAGAATCAAATGTGAATGGGAATATAATGGAATTGTTATTCTCATTTTCTTGTATGATTGGAAATATGAAATTATATAGAAATGAAATGATAATCACAATTCTAAATGCATAGTGGTGGTGGAAGGCAGTGATGTGGCGGAAGGCGGTGGCGGTGGAAAGTGATGGTGGCGGTAGACGATAGAGGGCGGTGGTGGAAAGCAGGGAGAGTAAAGTGTTGGCAGCTGTAGACGATAGAGGGCGGTGGCATTGAAGCGGCGATGTTGGGAAAAGGCGATGGCGGGAGGTTGTGGCAGCGACGATTGTGGTGGAAGGTGGCGGCAGTGGTGGAATAATTCCACTCTTTGGAATGAATTTCCATTTCAATCGATTTAGATGTTGAATTGATTTTCATTCTTTGAATAAATTTTCATTCCATAAAAATGACCATTTCATTTCATTCTGTTCTCGAACACCTAGGCCATATTACTAGATAGAGAGCACTACACCCAAACATATACTCGTTCCCTCCCTGGGCTTTAGGCCATATTACTAGATAGAGAGCACTACACCCAAACATATACTCGTTCCCTCCCTGGGCTTTAGGACTCCAACTTTTTAAGAGTACAAACGTACATTTAATGCATTGTTTATTTTAAAATTACAAAAATTAGCCATTTAAAGTTGTGTCAGTTCCCTTAAGTTTTAAAAAATTTGAGGATATTTTGGAAAATAAATTACCTTTTACATTCAGTAACAACTAACAAGAATTTTGAAACATTCAAAAATAGAAAGATGACCAAGAATTTTGAGATAAATTGACTATATCTATTTCAAACTTGTTAGTGGACATTTTTAATAATTTTCTATTTATGTTAACCAACTAATAATAGTAATAATAATAATTAATAATCAAAAAGGGAATTTATTGCCAATGACAAGTCAAGAAAAATTTTATGCATTTTACTCTATTCAATTTAACCCTTTTTGTTAAACAAATTTAATTACAAATCACTGGACATGTTTAATTTAAAATAGGGCAAATTGCATAAAACTTGCCTCTACTTTCAATTTATGGCAAGAAACACTCTTGTAGAAAAATTGGACTTAAAACCCCCTAATTATCCAATATGTTAAAAAGTGATGTTATTATTATGAAAATGCCTCCTAATATAAATTTCAGAAAATGGTTTCTCTTAATAAAAAATTAATATTAATACAAATAACTCATTCGGCATAATGGCTTTAAAAATTTTCCAAATTTATTTTTAATAGTGTGCCTATAAGAAAATGAAAATACCTTGGAACAGTATTTAAAATTTTCTTAATTTAAAAAAAAAAAATTAAAAAAAAAATAAAAACCTAAAAAAGAAAAATATTTAAGAAAACCTAAAATTTCTTAAATTTGCATTAAGGGGTATTTTCGTATTATAACATCACTTTAATGGTGTGTATTTTTAAAAAGGTAAATTACACTGTTCTTTCTTAAAGTTTCGTCAAACTACACTGACCTCCCTGTCAATGGATGCTATTAAGGGAAAGAGTAAAATTACAAATTTTCCTTACTTATTAATTTATTATTAAAAATATAAAATATAATGGATGTAAATTATCAATAGTACCCTTTTAAAGATTTTTTTTCCTTCTCCTTTCCCACGGCCTTGCCACTGCCGACAAGCCCTCTTCTCTCTCCTCTGTCCCCGACGGCTGGAGACTGGTCTGTGCTGGAGACGGGTGACGTCAACGGAGAAGAGCATGGACTGCGATGTGCTCAACGATGAAGTGTTAACAGCATCCTTAGAAATGCGTTACCCCGAGAAGGCTATGCATTTGATAATTGAAAATAAAAAATAAAAAATAAAAAAATAAAAATAAAACCCCAAAAGTTGTATCTGTTCATAGAGAGAGAAAATAGGTTTCTCAGTCGTCAAGGAAATGGGTCTGCTCGTTGCATGAAGCGTTGCCGGCGAGGAGTGCACCGAAAAGAAGACTTGCCAGACTGAAATGGGTTTACACCAAAACTATGAGCTTGCCGTCACAATGGAGCTATACCGTTCGCCGTTGTGAGCTTCGCCGATGGATTCTTCATTCTTTGCCGGTGAGTTCTTCATGTCGCGGTTTGTCCTCGCTGATAAACTTCTTTACCGCTATTCATCATTGTTTGCCCCCGTTCTTGTTTGCTCGCCGGCCCATCCTTGCTAAATTCAGTGCTTGCATCACGCTCGGATCCTTACACTATGTTGGCTGGTTTAACAAATTTCAACTTTTTCAATTTTATCTAAATTAACATAAATTCAAAATATAAGAGAAAAATATAAATTACTCTGGGCAGTAGTGTGTCCAAATTTCTTACACTGAGCACATAGCTTAAGAATCCAAACATATTCAACTTAAATTTCAATTTGCTTATGGTCATCTTTAATGTAGAAAGTCAAAAGAAGAGTATGTGTTGGTTACCCACTGTTATCATTTTGGGAGATTGATCTGGGGTGCAGTTTGAGAGACTGCCCATGATTGGGAGGCAAAAGGATATGGTTGAGTTTTTGGTGATGCTATATAGCCAGGTTATTTTCGAGGTGGGGATGGATGAGCGGACGTGGATGGCTTTAAGCCAGGGAAGATTTGAGGTATAATCCTTCTATTGTTAGCTGATGGATGCTCGGGGGCGTCTTTTCCATTGAAAGGAATTTGGTGCTTAAACCAAAAAGTTGAAATTTGTTAAACTACCTTTGCCGGAATCTCTATAAACTGAAGCTCGTCGAACCCTTATTCGCCTTTTGCAGCCGCCGTGTGTATATATATAGATACATATATATGTGTGTGTATATGTGTGTGTGTATATATATAGATAGATATATATGTGTGTGTATATGTGTGTGTGTGTGTATATATATATATATATATGGATGGATGAGATTGATGTGTGCGTGTCTATAAATATATATGTGTGTACTGTATATAAATAGTTTAGACCCATTGGGTGTTCTGGTTTTGTTGATATGAGGGCACCATTGTCCTTTTGAGTTTATAAGTCAAGGGTAGTATTGTAAATTTGCAGTGATTATTGAGGTTAAAAATGCCATTTTAGGTATTAGAAAGGTAAAATTGTCTTTGTATTAATTTTTTTTTCTGACAAATATAAGCATAAACCGTTAATTGTTTAATAGCAGGGGAGGTCCGTGTTATAAATTTTGAGGGAGGTCACTATTATTTGGTAAATAAGAGGAGAGGTTAGTGTATAATGATGAAATCTCAAGGAAAGTCAGTGTAATTTACCCTTTTTAAAATTTTTTTTAAAGTTCTATTTTTTAAAAACTAAAAAGGGAAAAAAATAATAAATAATTATATTAAAGGACATTTGCGTTATTATAACACCACTTTGCACCAAAATAGATACTTGAGAGTTTTTATGTCAACTTTTTTATTCAAGAGAATTTCTTACGAAAAATTAAATGTAAGGAGGAATTTCATGTAATTTGCCCTTTAAAAGTACAATTGATTTATTGAGCACCGCCTCGACAAGATCGACTGATTGCACTTTGCACTTTGCACTTGCAGGGACAGAATGGAAATAAGAAAAACAAGATGGAGGGGCAATCTGTAATATTCAGAAAAATAAAGGCCATAGTGCAAATTTTGTTATTTCCTCTCCGATCAACGGTCCTGATCTCACACAACCCCAGGACGAAAACTAGCCGTCTCCGCAATTACTTCAGCGCCTCCTCTTCGTATTGTGCCCTAGCTGCGGACTATATGTCTATATATATGCTTGTAAGTTGTTTGTCGCTCTTCGATTCTAATTAGGGTTTGTCATAGTCCAGTTCTCGATTTGTTTAGCGAAAACTCATCAATTTATTGTGTTCGTTTTTTATATACTATAGTTGATTATTTGTATTTATGGTCTAGATTTTGTAGGTCATGGGTGAGAAACGCTTGTGCGTGCAATGGGTTTAAATATACTTCGAGTAAATCGCTATCAAAAGAAACCAGGTCTTTTATTTGTTAAATTCTTTTGTCTTGCATTTAGGGTTTGATTGTTTCCTTTATCTTTTTCTCTCTATATTTTCTTTGAGCACTTGTAAAAATTATTGGATTTAATTCTGGTTGTTTATACTGATATTATTTTCTTGTGATTGGTAAAAAAAGCAAGTCTTCTCATGGGTTTGTTTTTATTGAATCAGTTTGTTTAATGTACTTATCTTTATAACCAATCTGACTTCAAGATTTTGGATTTTGCAAATTTGCAAGTGATGATAAAATAGACAGGGACATCAGAACTCCTATGGAGAATGATAGACTTGGTCTTTGGGAATCTCTCTGATGCATTTATTAATACACATATAGGGTTGGATAGATGCACTCTATTGTATAACTTAAACTTCTCAGTTTTTGTTACTATATTTTTATGTTATAATAGCACAGCTTAGTTTGTACAGGGGTTTAAAAATTTCCTGTGGATACAGTAAGCAGCTATTTTTTGGTAATATGCTTGTAAGTTGATTGTTGCTCTCGATTCTAATTATGTCATAGTCCAGAAAAAACTCAGTTGTTTTTTTTTTTACTATAGCTGATTATTTGTATTCATGGTTTAGATTTTGTAGGTCATGGGTGCAATGTGTTTTAGATATACTTTGAGTAAATCGATATCAAAAGAAACCAGTCTGAAGCTGTGAGGTCTTTTATTTGTTAAATTCTCTGGTCTTGCATTTAGGTTTTGAATGTTTCCTTTATCTTTTTCTTTCTATATTTTACTTAGCACTTGTAAATTATTTGATTTAATTTGGGTTGTTCATTCTGATATATATATTTTTATATGTAAAAAGCAAGCCTTCTCAGATGGTGGGTATGTTTTATTGAATCAGTATGTTTGATCTTGGTAGTTAGCATAATCCATCTGAATTTTGCAAATTTGCTAGTGACTATAAAATAGACAGGGACATCAAAACCTCTCTGATGCATTTATTAATACACATATAGGGTTGGATAGATACACTCTAGTGTATGACTTTGAAACTTTAAATTTTTGGTTTATGTATTTGTATGTTATAATAGCACAGCTTAGTTTGTATAGGGGTTTAAAAGTTTCCTGTGGATACAATAATGCTATTTTTGGGAATATAGATTATTTTGGGTATCACAGGTTTTAGAAGAATATAAATTTTTTGTTGGAAATATAGTTATTTTTATTATTTGGTGCCAATGATGGGTTTAAATATACTATGAATTTCTAATAATGAAAACAATTTAATCTGAGGCACCTTTGTTTTTAGAATGTATGATTTTTATTCGAATTTTTTTGTTTAATTTTGGGGAAGGATTTCATGCAGTTTAAAATTTTGATCTAATTTAGTTTGAAACCATTGTTTTTCTGTCATCTTACACATGGCTTTTAAATTGTGTTTCTCGACATTAGTTTGTGCAAGTGATGATAAAATAGACAGGGACATCAGCACTCCTCAATGGAGTATGATGATTTGTCTTCGGGAATCTCTCTGATGCACAAACATTTTCGGACTTGGCAGAATGGTTTTAATTTTATGATTGCTTAGTTGCTTAATTTATCATCCTCTGAATTTTTTTAGGGCCAACAAGATGGTGTGAGAGTGTAGTTGTAATCAAAAGTAACTTTTTGTGGTATTAACTGGTTTTTGAATCCAATTTTTTACCATCCGACATGTTTGCTTGAGTAGATATCAAGCCTTCCACTTTGTGCATTCTGCCTGTCTGTTTCTGTACTCAATCCTTAATTATTTTGTTGCATTTGTGATTTTTCTCTCATTATGACCCTCTTTTGGATTTGTCATATAAATTAGTTTTGATAATTCATGAGTATTAGAACAATATTTTAATGATGTATTCGTGATGAAGATTCACTAATTGTTAGGTTGAAAATTGGCAGCCAGAGACTATCTGTTATGGTCATATGATTCACAAGACATTATTTTATTTTTGTAGTCTCCTTGATTTTGTGGGAAGCTGTCACTAAACTCAATTTTCTTACAGTGTTTACTACTTCTCGAGCCCTTCCCAAAGTATTTGCACTTATTTGCTTGAGTTGATATTCAAGTTGTTGAATTTCGTTATTCCTATATATATATTATTTGCTAGATAGTTTATCTCCGGTTTGTGATGTACTTGTTTCATTTGAGTATTGTTTTTAAATTCATATATATATATAATTGTCGTTAAGTTATGGATTAGGACACTTCTCCTTTACATTTGAAGCATAGTCATGTTGTTTTTGACTCCGGATACACTACAAAATGCTGTCATATTTCTTGGTTTGCCAATGATGCATTTATCTGCACATAATATCAGACATATCAATGATGATATATGCAATTGTCACTACCTCTGAGGCAAAACCTTCATCAATTGAGACCTGTCCAGTGTTACGGTAATTAAGATTTTTTTATATTGTCAAGCTTATTGAATTGTCTATTAACATGAATACGATGTGTTTAAGTTGAATGTGGTGGTGTTATGCTTTTTATTTCAACTGTCGTGTTAGTTATTTGTTTTTCACACCTATTAAATAGTTAAAGCAGATTTACTTCATTTGCTTATTATGTTTCTAAATGCATCTTTACTATCAGGGGCAAATTACACAAAGGACCTCTTGGGTTTTCATCTTGTACATGTAGATAGAGATGCAACAATATTACAGAAAAACCCCTTGATATGAATTTACATTTTTGTCCTTAGGGTGAAACTATTTGCTTAATGAAAAAATCTAAATTTTTTTATGTATTGTTAAAGTTATGGTTTTGCCCCTTTGAGAGAAGGGGATTGGCGGAGGAAGAGGGTTTTGACGGTGGAGGAATCGGCGGTGGCGGTGGCGCCTCCATTTTCTCTCTCCGCCGATTGTAGTTTTGGGGATAGTGGGGGTGGCGGTTTTAGATGGTTTTGCTGGATAGAGAGAAGCAAACAAAGAACTGTTGATGAGTAGAGAGAGAGAGAGAGAGATTTTAGGGTTCAGATAGGTCAAATTTCATTGGACTACAATTTGATTTGTGAGGAACCCACTTATCCATGAGAAATCGAAATCAATCGCTCAAAATGATATACTGACGAGCGTATAAATGTTTATATGCAAAATCCATCCTTTCTCCCCTGGTAATCGGAATACCTACTTGAATATATATAAAAAATAAACATTGAAATTTGTTTTTTCATTTTTTTCAATTATTCAAAACACAATATAATTATAAGAGAAGTGAACTAAGAATGCGCTAAATTTGTGATAATTACCGTTTCATGTATCAGGAACGCTATATCCGCTGTCTTCCATCTCTGCACTTTCTCCATGTTACCACTGAAAACCTTCTCATGAATTTCAAAGATTGATCCATAGCTCCCTGTTTGTTTCCGCACTTTTGAAGGACATCGTAGAACAAAGGATAAAGCGAAAAGAAATTCCTCAATATCCAAATCCAAAGCTCCCTCCTCTAATGGCGATGCCAGTCAAAGTGTACGGCGGCGCCTCCATTTTCTCTTTCCATCTATTTTTTTTTTTAGATTTTTTCATTAATCTAGTAGTTTAATTTTAAGGATAAAAATGTAAATTCATATCAATCCATTTAACTAAAAAAAGTTAATTTGGAGCCTTTCTGGGTCGTTGTGTAATTTGCCCTATTATCGGATACATTGAAACATGACCATAGACAATTAATTTTTAGTTTTTCCCATCTTAGGGGTATAGATGCTGAGTAATTACAGCTCTAGATAGAATATGAATTCTTACGTTCTGGTTTTCTACTACTTTAGTCTGGAATTGTTGTTGCTAGTCAGAGAGGACTCTAGTTTAGAATACTTGTAACTGATAATTTTGAGTTTCTATTAGAAATTATTGGGCTTTATTGGGCCAATAATAAGATTTGAACCCCTAATGTCAGTATTGACTGTTTAAGTAGAGATTTTGAACTCTAAATGTTTTTTGGAATAAATAAATATCGCCATTTTATTTGTAATTTAACCTTTTTTATTTTATTGAATTTTAGTGATTTTTATTAAAATTTTTAACAGCATTTAATGCAAGTAATGAGGTATTTATTATTTTTAAAGAGAATTTAATAATTGGACCAACTTATTTGTCACATTTCCACTGAAAAGTCAGAGTACTATTATTTGAGTAATTATTAAAAAAGAAATTATATTAGTCCAAATTATCCTCTTACTATTTTAAAAAATTTCATCGCCGTTCTGTCTCTACCAAATTATCCTCATTTTTTTTAGTTGGGGGCGGTGTCAGAGCATAAACTGATGGTGAATTAAAATTATTGATGAGGATTAAATTGTCATATTTTGTAATATTACTTTTTGTTAAAGGTAAAATTTTTCATCCATTATTTTTGGACATGGTTGTTTTTGTAACCTATCCAACACATGTTATCTTTTATTTAATTTTTTCATTTTTAAATCGTTGCTTAATGAATAAATAATAAAAGCCAACATTCACATGGTTATGAAACATTTGTTGGAGTTAAGTTTTAACTTATAATTAGTGATACTTTGAAATTGCAAAAGAAACCCCTCTCATGTCGATCCGAATGAATCATCCTTTTCACGGAGGTAAATCTTTGCCTGCTAGGCAAGATGATAGCAAGTTAAAAATTCTGTCTCGGTAGGACATGTATTTCTATTACTATGCAATTCATAAATTAAGTAATTAATGTTGGGGTTACCCCATGAAAGCAAGCATGGCAAGGCTTTTTTCATAAAAGCTGAGAAAGCTGAGAAGGAATTCTGTGCTTTAACTTAAAAAAAAAAAAAACCAAAGGGTTTTTGATGGGCAGTAGTATTAAGTAATGTGCTATGTTTTTTAAAAGAGCTTTGGGTGTTTGGAAGGTGGCAAAATAATCTAAAAACTTCCCAAATCTGCTCAATAATTATTCGGTATTGGGTGACTAGTTTAGTTGAGTGGTTTATTAATGTTTTAGTTATTAGTGGGTATTATATTTAATGGACTGTTAGTGAATTAAGACAGACTTAACCCACCACACATGATAATTTAAAATAAACAATGTTTCTTTTTTCTCATTCATATCTCTCTCCTCATTTATCTCGTTTTATCGTTTCTCTCTCCTACTCTCTTGTCTTTCTCTCTCTCTAGCTTCGTGGATAAAAAACAATTAAAAAAAACAACGTTTCTCCTTTCTCATTTATATCTCTCCTCATTTATCTCGTTTTCTTGTCTCTCTCTCCTCTCGTTTTCTTTCTCCTTTGGTTTCTCTCTCCTACTCTCTTGTCTTTCTCTCTCTAGCTTGGTGGATAAAAAACAATTAAAAAAATAGGGCTTGGAAAATTAATTAAGTGAACAAAAAATGACCTATAAAATTTTTTGTCAAAATAACCCCGAGCAGGTTAGCCAATTATTAAGTCAATATACTAGATGGCACAGATTTGTTTACTTTTAGGAAAAAAAAAAAAATTACCTACTAATTGAACCCTTAAAATCTGAATTGTTATTTATTATTTCTTTATTACCAAAGATGAAACCTGGGGCTTTTGTTAGGATTATTCTGATGTAAATAACATATAAACTTCAATTATACATTTCCATTCAGAAAGCAGTTAGGAAAAATACAATAATATTAATAATTACCGTGAATATTAAAAAACAATCATTACCAGAATAATTTTGTGAGTAGCAATTGCTGAGGGATATAGCTTACGTTCAATGGCAACTAAATAAACTGATAAGAAGATAAAAAATGAACTATAAAAGCAAGGGAGAAGTAGACCAGAAGAGAGTCTTTTCTTGATTGAATAGTATGAGGAAAACTCTTTGAAAACTAGATGAATAGGAGGGCGTTAATGGCAGGGGCATGGGCATGAGCATGAGCTCGGTGATTCCCAAGATGAAGTGGGAGGGAGACCTAAACCTTTGGAAACGAGATTAAAATATAAATTTATGTATAAAAAAAAGTCATATACAAGCATAATTTTGTGATCAGAGGAGGGAAAAAATAAAAATAATAACAATAATAAATTATGTGAACGCAAAATTCGTCAAAACTCACCCAATTGTTACCCCTAATCTTTGAAAGAGCTTGGAGAAACTAAGCATTCCCAATTTTTGGAAAAGCGTTTTGGAGAAGCTGGTATCTCAACTTTTTTAAAACGCTATTATAAAAAGACACAAAACCCTAGTACACGGCAAAGCTCTCACATGATTTCAGAGAAATATCCTCACAGTAAACAACGGTTCGTGTTTATCCAACAACAGTCATCGACGATTTCACTGTACTAATTACCATCTAATTATGCAACTAAGATTGAAATGGTACCACACAAATACTTGATCTTTTATGTTTTTTATTTTTTATTTTTTATTTTTTATTTATTTATCTGTAAGCTTGTGATTCCAGCCAGTTAGTTTCGCTGGTAGATAATGAGGGAATAATTTCCTTCAAACATGGCCAAAAACTCTCTCTAACAGGACGAAAGTCAAGCAGATCTCATAGTTTAAAGAAAATTTCGGGGCTATAGAAGCAACAGTTGCCCAGGGGATTGAAATTATCGCCGCAAAAAATTCTTGGTTACGGCATGAATGTCAAAAAGAAAAGAAAAAAAAAATTATATATATATATATATATATATATATATCCTCACACGTGGTTTTAGATTAGTGGGTATAAGTTTTCTTTTGAGTTATGATGAGAATTTCTTTGGTCCGCTTGTCTTACCAATTGCTATTTATCAATTTCTGCAGTTGTTAATCTGTCTTTTCATTTATTTCCTTTTATATTAATCTTTTATCAAACAATCAGTATGAATAAAGGAATCAACAAGTGTCCGTTGCTGAATATTATATATTTTAATCACTTTATTTGTATGTTTTATTTTTTTAGTAATAGTTTATTTGTGATTTTATATTATTTTATTATTTTTATTTATTTTAAAATTTTAATTGTAAAATCAGTCAAAACTAGTGATTTCAAACTTTAAAGGATGACATTCCGTGGGACTAAGTAATGATGAAGATCGAAGTCTAATTATCTAAAAAAAGAGTCCAAGAGAAGGCACAACTTGATGAGAATGGAAAGAAGAAGAAAAGAAAGAATCCTTCTCTAACTAGGAAATTTTTTCCAAAGTTGGTAACTTGAATCTGTTTTGGTAATATGTCTGTATTTCTCTCATCGAGTGTCAAAACAGCTCAATTCCCACCAAAGTTGATAAGAAATTCGAAGAGTTACAATTTTGTATTTCACGATGATTTCATAAAATAGCTGTTTATCTAGTCAAAACTGGGCTGGACGTCTGTACGAATTTTGGAGTCCTTGTTTGACAGAATTTTCATATATGTCTTCTGTATGGAAAAGGGAACTTTGGAGTTGATCTTCTCTTTTTAAAAGAGAGT